GAGTCAGAGGAAGCGCTGGGCAGCCTGCAAGGTCTGCAGGGATTGTGGGGCTAGTAGCTCTGGAGATTCCGGAAGAGGCCATCCTTCTAGAATGCAGAAGAGGGAATGCAGCACTCCTGACATGTTGATTTTAGCCCAGAGAAACTGATCTTGAACTTCCAACCTCCAGGAAGGTAAGATAATCAATTTCTGTCGTCTCAAGGCACTCAGTGTGTGCTGATCAGTAGCCACCCTAGTAGGACACATATGCCACAGGCACTGGGGGACCTGACTTCTCCAGGTGCCAGGTGGAGACTGAGCCAGGGCCAGCCAAAGTGAGAGCAGGAAGATCAGCAGTCTGGACCGGGCAGGAGGGCGAGTCTGGCCACAGAGCTCCACAGCCAGAACACAGTGTCTGGAAAACCATGACAAATGGTCCATAAGTGGTGGAGGAAGAGGCACCCATTCATCGAGGGAGCAGGAGACACAGACCCCTGCTGCCAGCTTCCTGTCCCACAAAGGACAGGGACTGTGAGGTGGTGAAGGCTCGGGGAAGTGGAAGTTGCCTGGGACTGGCATGGATAAGAAAGTCTGAGAACAGAATGGCAGGCTCTAAGAAAAGCAGCTGCAGTTTTGCAAATATCGTCTCTACTTCTCAAATCGGTCTCTAACTTTGGCAAAATTTATTGAATGTGTGTGTGTGTATCTGAAAATGTACCTCTAAACTTCATCAAAGGGCCTGATGCAATGGCTCAATTGTCTAATCTTCCCTTATAAACACTGGGATCCCATATGGACACCGGTTCCTATCCCAGCTGCTCCACTTCCATTTTAGCTCCCTGCTTGTGGCCTGGGAAAGCAGCAGAAGGCAGCCCAAAGCCTTGGGACCCTGCACCCACATGGGAGACCAGGACCAAGCTCCTGGTTCCTTTCTTTGGATCAGCTCAGCTCCAGCCATTGCATCCATCTGGGGAGTAAACCAGCAGATACAAGATCTTTCTATCTCTTTTCTCCTCTGTCTTTCCAATAAAAATCTTTCAAAAGTGAAGTTCATCAGGAATGCTAACTGGAATAATCAAAGAGAAAGGTTGATAGTTTACTGTATCAGAAATCAAAACACACAGCTGTGTAATTAAAGTAGGCATTTGGCAAAGTGGTTAAGAAGTCAGCACTCCCACTGCCACATCACAGTGCCTTGGTTCAGGGCCGGCTCCTTGACCAATCCCAGTTTCCTGCTCACGTACACCGAAGAGGCAGCAGGTGACTGCTCAGAGCACTAGGCCCCCATGAGGCAGAACTATACTGGGTTCCCGGCTCCAGCTTCAGCCTGGCCCAGCCCTGGCTCTGTGGGCATTTGGGAAGTGAACCAGCAAATGGAAAATCTCTCTCTCCTTTTCAAATAAGTAAACTGTGGCGCTAGTGTGACAATAGATAAATATACTGATGGGACGGGAGAGATTTAAGAAATAGATGCATATATGAGAAAGTAATATTATTAAAGGTGATATTATTTCAAATTATGATTCTATGGCATTGGAATAATTAGTTATTTATTTGGAAAACAAAATGAAATTTAATAGCAAGTTCACATCTTCTACAGGAATCATTCCAGGTTAATTAAAAATGATATGACAAATAAGATTAGCCTAGAGGAAGATGTAAGGAATGTGGGTGAATGTCTTGGGAGGAATGATGCTGTGAAAGAAATACTTAAGCAGATTTGGGGTCTATGACTCCTTCAGAAAAAGATTCCAACAAATCTGAAATGCAAAATCATAAAACATTTTGTTAAATTTCCCATATCATATGAAGAACTTTAAGAAGGGAAAGATGACAACCCAATAAGTAAATGAGAAAAGAACATAAGCCAGCAATTCACAAAGGATTTAAAATGGAGGAGGCAGCCCGGTGCGGTCACCAAGTGGCTAAACCCTTGCATGTGCCGGAATCCCATATGGGCGCTGCTGCTCCACTTTCCATCTGGCTCTCTACTTGCAGCCTGGGAAGGCAGTGGAGGACGGCCCAAAGCCTTGGGACCCTGCACCCTTGTAGGGGACCCGGACGAAGCTCCTGGCTCCTAGTTTTGAATTGGCTCAGCTCCAGTCATTGAGGCGATTTGGGGAGCAAACCAGCAAGTGAGGATCTTTCCCTCTGTCTCTCCTCTCTGTAAATCTGCCTTTCCAATTAAAAAAAAAAAGTGGAGGAGACAGTAGCTCACCACAAAGAATCAAACAAAAATCAGTAACACAACACAGAATCAGAAGAAGCAATACTGAAATGTCACATTTTATATTAAGGTTGCAGAGATAATTCTCAGAGAAACTGATACTTCATGCCACCTTGGGACTTGCCTGAGCCCCCCCCCCCCTCGGGGGTCTCCTCCTTTACAAAAATAACCCAAGCTTCACTTCCTGACTGAATTTCCATAAAGGTGAATATAATTCATCCAAATGCGTTATCTGCTGTATGTTTCAGTTTTAGAGCCCATTTCTCTCCCCTGATTTTAGAAGATATTGAAATTATCCTCATGGCTCCTCAAACTTTCACAGGCCTAGGTGCTGTGCGTGGTGTGAGTCTGTCCTGGGGTCGTTTCACGGGAATGTGAACTTTTGAGGTGCTGAGCAATTTAGCAACATTCATCAGGATTCACAAGGTACATTATTCAAACTGCCTCCCATTGTCCAGTCATGTTTTCAGGAATGTGTCTCACTGACATCACCACGCAAATAGGCAAGAATACATACATGAGGAAGTTGCTGTCACAGTTCATTATTTACAATTTAAAAAGACTGGAAACAATCTGAGTGCCCATCATCTCACACAGGAAACAATAGCTATACGGACTGATGTGGAAGGTTGATTAGCATACACTTCTCAACTTGAACACAATCAGAGAATAACAGTAAGGTCACATGAGTGCTTCATACACACACACATCTGAAGACTGGAAAGAGAGACTATGGCCTGTTGCCGGGTAGTCTCCAGCGTTGGGGAGGACATGAAAGTATGTCAGCTTCCACAGTGAGCATGTGTTACTTGCATAATCACGAGAAAAACAGAAGCATATATTCACATTTTGAAGAAGGAAGTCGTCCTCTTTCGGATGAGGTCTGGAGAAAAGTGTGCCTCACTGGACGCCAGGAGGTGCTGGAAGAAACTCAGACCCTGAGGGCTTCTTCACCCGTGTCCTGCAGGGGCGGGGTGGCGCCCGGGTCAGAGCGCTGAAAGCCACACTCAAGAACGGCTAACCAGAGGCAGCTCCACTCTGCTCGTGCAACCCCAGCTGCTTGACTCCAGACTCCTGGGCCAGTCGGTCACCCTGAGAATGAGCAGGCACTGAGGCTGCCAGCAGAGTTCTAAGTGACAGTTAGGGCAGTGGCAGTTGGAGCACAGGGTGCACTGGGGCCGCTGCCGCCCTGGGAGAGGGACTCTAGGGCAAGCCCAATGTATGGTAAACAGCTATGTCAGCTCCTTGTGCGCCAGGTGTAAGGTGTACCCACGTGCAAATTACTGAGCCAATGTCATCCATGTCAGGAAGCATACACCCCCACCCGTCCACCAAAGACCCTACACAGTGACTTCAAACACATAAGGCTCCCTTAAACAGGGCGGCTGCTGGTTTGTTTTTGAGGAGACAACAATGGTGGCTGCTCCCACAGGATGGGGGAATACTGCCACTGTGGACAGTTGGCCCCGGAAGGGCCGGAGGAGCCGTGAAGGGCCCGAGGCTGGCTGGCTGGTGGGAGATGTCAGATGACGGGGCCAGGGATGGCTATAGCACGAACAGAAACAGTTAAGACAGCACTTACACAGCCAGCATCCTGTGTTGGGTGTCGGTTAGAGTCCCAGCTGCTCTGTTGATGTGTCAGGGTGGCCAGTGCAGGGGGAGGGATGGGGTGGTGGAAGGGAAGTAGAAGCAAGGCCCAAGTACCTGGCTTCCTGCTGCACATTGCCAGGATAGGTGCCCAGGCTACTGGAGGGCCCCAGCTTTTGTGGTCAACTGTTCTACTGTCTGCTGGGTTGCAAGGATTTGCATCTCAAGCTTCAAGGTGTATGGTTTGTTTGTAAAGATTTTTTTTTTTTAACTTTAATTGGAAAGGTAAATTTACAGAAAGAAGGAGAGACTAAAAGATCCTGTTTGCTGGTTTACTCCACAGTGGCCACAACTGACTGGAGCTGAGCTGATCCGAAGTCAGGAGCTTCTTCCATGCGGGTGCAGAGTCCCAAGGCTTTGGGCCGTCCTCTGCTGCTTTCCCAGGCCACAAGCAGGGAGCTGGATGGGAAGTGAAGCAGCTGGGACGTGAACCTGCACCCACATGGGAACCTGGGTCATGCTAGGACCCATCGCGCCAGGCCCACATGTCTCAGTTTTAACTTGATATATAAATGTGCATTAATAAAAACCACCTAAACAAAAGTAAGGGGAGGATAAGGTAACTGACAAAACTTTAACACAACAGAAATTTCCTAAGCCAACTGTAAATTCAAAATACAGGGCTGCAGTTAAATTGGAATTTCAACTCAATGATGACTGCACAGGGCACAATCACACTGTCAAAAAACATTCTTTTGTTAATGCGAAATTCAAGAAATCGTCTTGGATTTCACACCTGCAGACGGTAGGCTGGAGACGGGGCAAGCTAAACTACACCAAAAGCTCTGCTCGCACTCTGCAGGGCCAGCACTTCCGGTCAGGGGTTCTCGCTGCCCGCGGCGTGGCCCCGCCCCCGCCGGAAGCCTCTGCTGGCCACTCCTCCCCCGGCTCCGCTCACGGCCTGGGGCCCCCGCGGGGTCGGGTGCTGGGTGCTGGGTGCTGGGTGCTGGGTGCCGGGTGCCGGGTGCCGGGCGTGGGGAGCCGGGTGCCGGGCTCGGGGAGCCGGGTGCCGGGTCCCAGGTGCCCGGCGTGGGGTGCTGGGTGCCGGGTGCCGGGCGCGGGGAGCCGGGTGCCGGGTCCCGGGTGCCCGGCGTGGGGCGCTGGGTGCCGGGCGCGGACCCCGCCTCCGGGGAGAAGCGGCCGCGGCCCTGTCCCTCCGTGCGCGCGCGGACCGGCCGCCAAGGCCGGCACCCTCGCCGTCGCCCGGGCCGGGCGGCCGCCATTCCCGTGTCGCTGCGCCCGCGGGGGCCTGCCGGGCCTGCCGCCATGCCGCTGGGCCTGAAGCCCACCTGCAGCGTCTGCAAGACCACGTCGTCCTCCATGTGGAAGAAGGGCCCGCAGGGGGAGATCCTGTGTCACCACTGCACGGGCCGGGGCGGCGCGGGCGGCGCGGGCGCGGGGCCGGCGGGCGGCCCGGGGGGCGGCCTGGGCGCGGCCACCTTCGCCAGCACCTCGGCAGCCCCTCCGCAGAGCAACGGGGGCGGCGGCGGCAAGCAGGTGAGCTCGGCGACCCCGCCCGGGGCGGCAGGGCGAGGGCGGGCGGCTGCGTGGACAGGTGGGCTCCTGCTCGCCGTGAGCAGCCCGGCAGTGGCGCTCTGCGGGCCCTGGCCCCGGGGCCTCCCGGCCGAGCTGGAGTAAAAGGGAAAGGCCCCCCCACCCCGCACAACGTGCCTGCCTCAGGCGCCTGGTGCCCCTGCGGCCTCTGGTGCTTTGTGTATTTTAATATTATTTGTCTGGTTTTTGCAGAGTAAGCAGGAAATCCACCGGCGGTCGGCCCGGCTTCGGAACACCAAGTACAAATCCGCCCCGGCCGCGGAGAAGAAGGTGTCCACGAAAGGAAAAGGGAGGAGACACATCTTCAAGTTAAAAAATGTGAGTCCTCTGGAATGAGTGAGAGAGAGGCAGTGTGTGCGTGTCCTTTGTCCAGCCCTGGGGAGCCCTGAGGGAGGAGCCTGGCTTCCCCAGAGCAGATGGTCTCTGTTTCAGGAGGGTTAGTATTGAGAAAGTTCATTGTACCTCCCTCCCTGTCCTTTTAAGCTCACTCTCAAATCCTGATGCCTCACCCAGGCCGGGCGGGGCAGGGCTGAGGTCTCCCCTGGGCGCGTGGTTGTGTTCTGTGTCCAGGATGTGCCGTGGCAGGAGGCCGTGCCTCCTGGGGCAGTGGGGACTGGCTGCGGCACTCAGGTGTGGTGCGGGAGGCGGCCCCTGAGCCTCACTCAGGTGTGGTGCGGGAGGCGGCCCCTGAGCCTCACCTGCCGTGGGCTCTAATGGTTTCTTGGCTGGTTTCTGCCAGTTTCTGTGTAGCATAGTGTTACAGCTTTAGGCAGTCAGATCACAGGCTAGCAGGTTCCTGAAGTCGCCCCAGACAGCCTGGGACCTTTAGTCCAGGCTGGCTGCTACGCTGATACACTTGGATACTGTAGCTCATTCCACAGCTGGGACCACAAGAGGTTTCTGGGAGACGTTCCCTCTGCATTCACCTGCTGGATTTTCTTTTTTATTACTGCCTCCTGTGGGGCTCAGGCGGAGCCCTGCTCGTTTATCCTCAGGTGTGGAGTGAGGCCCACAGAGGGCTTTGGGGGAGGCGGATTCCTGCGCAGTTGTGAGCCCAACGCCGGCAGAAACACCGGAGGCACCCTGTCTGCCTCCCGGTCTGCTCCCCGTGACATGCAAGCGCTCACTGCGGTTGTGGTTCTTGGACCAGACAACACATACTAGCGTTTGTCAAGCCGCCTGGCTCTCAGGCGGGGCTGGAACGGGCTGTCCGCCCGGCGCGGCAGGGGTGTACTGACGTGCCCACCTTGGCTTTCCGCAGCCCATCAAGGCTCCAGAGTCGGTTTCCACCGTCATCACGGCCGAGTCCATCTTCCACAAGGTGAGCTCACAGGCGTTGCGTGTTTCGGGGTCTGAGCGGTGAAGTAGCAAGGCCTGCGGGTTAATGACTCCCAGGAGACTCCGGGAGGCATGCCTTCCGATGGAGCGCTTTGTTGTTAACCCACAGTCTGTGTGGCCAGAAACGGTCTAGGTGCAGGCAGACATCTCTGACGTTTGGTACGTTGCTGGTAGTGAGGACAAGCTGGGCCAGGTGCTGGAGCCGTCTGCAGGCTTCGGATCAGGCTGTCTGCGTGCCGGGGCGGGGGGTTGTTGTTTTATGGGTGAGGACACTGAGACGGTAGTTGACTTGTCCCACATCACATGACAAAACAAGTCAGATGCCAGAACCTATCCCTGGACCCCACAAAGCTAACAAGTGGCTGGATGACTAGGCTGACACTTAGCTGTTTCTTGCTGTGTGAAACGGGGATTGTGGGTTGTCTAACTGCTTTCTTGGGTCGAATGACTAAGCACTCAGCAGATGGTGGGTACTGCCATCCTCACATCATCAGATTAGTGCATTGCTGTCCCTGCTAAGTGGACATGTGGATGGATCAAGTCTGGAAGCTTCTGGGCTGGGTAACAAGTCCCACGTGCCTGTCACTGTCCTTGTGCTGAGTGTCCCGGTGGAGAGGCTCGTGGGACTCGCCAGCCCTGGTGGCAGCACTTGCCTGTTGTTGCGCCCTGCTGTGTGTGCCAGGTAGCCAGTGGCTGTGGAACGTGCAGCGATTACAGAGACTGTCAGAGCTCTGTAGGAACCCCGGGGCTGATGGCCCAGAGCGGGGGCCCTCCAGACCCCGGGTGGTAAAGGGGGGCTTCTTGGAGCAGGAGAGGCAGAGCAGCTCTTGTACTTGTGTCACTGGGTTGTGTGGACCCCTTTTCTCTGAGGAAATGAGGGGACTCCTTAGCTCAAGTGAGTCCGTCCTGTTGTGATGTATGTGGCCCTACTAAGTCACCTTCCGTGTGCCATCGGAATCGCCCATTCCTGTGTGGTTGAGCACCTGTGCCGAGCAGGGACAATGCTGCATAACGCGGAGCAGTCATCATGCTGTGGACACCGCAGCAGGAGCCTGAGAACTCCTGCTAGGAGGCGGGACCAGCAGGCGATGAGACCCGTAGCCGGCTTGCTCTTGCTGCCTAAGCGATCCAGGTGTCACAGTTGCTCTCGGAGCCGTGCCTGAGGGCTGCATGGGGAGAACTTGGGCCTCACAGGCATTCATGTTGGAGCTCGGTTCCTGTGGGGCTTCTGAGTCCGGTGCTGGTGAGGCACGCAGGGCAGGAGGGATGGACCCTGTCACCGCTGTGCGCCAGGACAGGGTGACCTGAGCAGCACCACACCCACCAACGGAAGCCCTGAGTGTCAAGGGTTAGAGCAGCATTGTGGACATTTAATGAAGAGATTTGGGATGCCAGTAGCCTGTGTCAGAGTAACTGGAGACCTGGCAGCTCTGCCTCTGCTCCTGCCTCCCGCCAGTGTGCGGCCTGGGAGAGGACAGCCTGGCTCAAGTACACGGGAAGCAGGCTTGAGTTCGGGCCTGTGATCCAGCCCCCGCTGTGGCTGGCGTCTGGGGAGTGAGCCAGCCCGTGGAAGGGCCTCTCATCCTCATCCGCATTTCTAATAAAAAGGAAAATAAGAATAATTTTTTTTAAAGATTTATTTTTATTATTTTCTTATTGGAAAGGCGGATATACAGAGAGGAGAGACAGAGAGGAAGATCTTCTGTCCGATGATTCACTCCCCAAGTGAGTGCAACGGCCGATGCTATGCCGGTCCGAAGCTAGGAGCCTCTTCCGGGTGTCCCACGCGGGTGCAGGGTCCCAAAGCTTTGGGCCATCCTCGACTGCTTTCCCGGGCCACAGGCAGGGAGCTGGAAGGGAAGCGGGGCTGCCGGGGATAGAACCGGCGCCCATATGGGATCCCGGGCGTGCAAGGCGAGGACCTTAACCACTGCGCCACCGCGCCGGGCCCATAAGTATAATTTTTAAAAAGATTTATTTTTGTTGAAAGTCGGATATACATAGAGGAGGAGAGACAGAGAGGAAGATCTTCCATCTGATGGTTCACTCCCCAAGTGACTGCATAGGCCGGTGCTGCGCCAATCAGAAGCTAGGAGCCAGGAGCTTCCTCCAGGTCTCCCACACAGGTGCAGGGTCCCAAGGCTTTGGGCTGTCCTTGACTGCTTCCCCAGGCCACAAGCAGGGAGCTGGATGGGAAGTGGAACAACCAGGGTATGAGCCAGTGCCCATATGGTATCCCAGTGCATGCAAGGCAAGGACTTTAGCCACTAGACAAAAAAAAAAAAATTACAGATTTTAAGAGATGGTTTCCAATTCAGAAGACAGAGAGGAAGACGTGGGCTGGAAAGTGGCTGTGTTAAAGGCTTTGCATAGGCCATGCGGAGCTGGGATGGTTGGCCATGAAGAGAAGACACGGCCAGGCCAGTGGTCGGGGGGGTGGAAAGATGTAACTAATGGGGCGCAGAGGGGAATGGCAGCCTCCAGGTGAGAACATAGACAGTCGTCAAGGGTAAGCAGGCCCTGAGGGCGCTGCCATCACAGGAGTCTGTCATTTCTGTAATTTGAACTTCCACTCGGGGTGGAAGTGTGTGGAGCGTTTTTACAGGTACACACTCTTCCTTGAGCAGCAGAGAGGCCATGGAGCTGTGTAGGAACCTCACGTGCAGGTCCCCCTGGCATAGCTTTCCCCGCTCGCTCTCGCTGCCCACGGCATCCTGTCTGTGGCCACAGAAGTAGGGGCGGCAGGAGCACAGAGCCATCGGGGTGGTCTGTACTGCTAGGTGCCCCAAGCCTGCCTGGTGCCAGGGGCGAGCGCTCCCGGGAGCCGTGATCTGGGGCTGTCGACTTGGTCTCTCGCTTGCTCCAGGCGCTCCAGCTGCTGTGGAGGTGCTGAGGCTTCAGGGAGCCAGGTGCTCGCGGCAGGGGACATGGGAAGTCTATTTCAGGCTGTTTAGGCTACTTCTGCTGTAAACCTAAAACTGCTCCCCCAAAACAGTCTGCTTTCTCCCTGAAGTAAGGACAGTGCTACTGTGAGAACAATCAAAGTTTTTGCTTTTTTGAATAAACTTTTATCCAGTTGTAGATGATCACATGTGTGTGTGCCTGGGCACATGCATGTAGATGTTTACCTGCTCAGCTCTGGCATGGACATCCCGCATGTAAACACTGATGTACTGGGCCATCTCAGACTTCTGGTCGAGCACTTTGCAAACTTGCTTTCCTGTTGAGGCTTTCGTTGCTTGAGTCAGAGTTGTTGCCTTTCCGCCCCCCAGCGCTGGGATGATTCTGTCTCCCCAGGGTGTGTATTACCAGATTGGCGATGTGGTCTCCGTGATTGACGAGCAGGATGGAAAGCCCTACTACGCCCAGATCAGGGGTTTCATCCAGGACCAGTACTGTGAGAAGAGCGCCGCTCTGACATGGCTGCTCCCCACCCTCTCCAGCCCCAGGGACCACTTTGACCCTGCGTCCTATATCATCGGTGAGTCTGCCCCACGGAGCAGCTTCCTGAGCTTGCCTGCATGCCCAGGGTTACTCGGACGTGTTTGTGCGTCTCCTTGTGACACCGCGACAGTACCACGCAGGATGGTGTATGCAGTGGGACTTGATTTCCTCGCAGTTCCCTGGGTCTCAGGCCTAAGGTCAGGGGGCCGTCAGGGCTGGTTTCCAGTGAGGGCTCCCTCCTGGCTCGTCGGGGACCTCCTCCTTGTCCTGTCCGTCTGGGGCCGCCTCTGTGTGTGACATGAAGGTAGAGTGTCCTCAGATGAGGGCCCTGTTCTGTGGCTTCAGTCCCATCTCCAGAAACCCTCACTCTGAGGGCTTCCTCGCAGGGCCAGTGGGACACCAGAAGTCAACAGGGCTGTGTGGAGGGGGCAGGACAGCTTACGTAGCTGGGCTTTGCGAGCAGGCAGCGATGGAACAGCAGCATGCTTAGGTCTTTTCTGAGTCACCAGGTTGAACTGCAGAAAGAACGTGCTGCTCGGGAACCAGGTTGTCTGGGGCATTGTAAGAATCTACCCCAAGCCAGGTCTTGAAAGAAGTATTCTATTTCTTTCTAACATCACACAGGCTTTCCGTGGGTCTGCCTGCCCTGCACCTTTCCTAGCCAGCCTTCCGGGGCTGCCACTGCCAGCCGCGGGACTCAGGGCTGCCCAGGCGTGGACGTGGTGTTTGACAGAAACTTGCTGATCCCTACAAGTTGGAAAGCAGTCAGATTTCTGAAAGTTTCCCTGAACTTACCCAGTTTTTCTGTAATGACTATGCATTATTTTTGCATTTTAAGAAAAAAACATACAAATGTTTTTCTCAGAACATCAGGAAGCAGTAATGAGCAGCGTGAGGCTCCCCTGTAGGCCCCTTAGACACCAGCCCTCCCTTAGCCCCAGTGCGGGTGGAGGCAAGGCTTCCCTTCCACTCTGCCTGCTCCCTGGGCGCGGCAGGCTTTGCTGACCCAGGGAAGGCAACACAGCTGGCCCGTCTCGGCCCCCAGCCACTGTGCCCCCTGCCCTGTGGCCTTGGCAGGGTCCTCGGTCTCCCTTGCTGCACTTTCCTTCCATGGAAGATGGGAATAAGGGTGGTGCTTTCCTCTGAGGAGTGTTGTGTGGAGACCGCGTGCATGGCGATGTGGTGCCTTGGAGCGCCGGCCCAGGGTTCAGTGTCACACTTAGCACCTGTTCTCTCCTGGCGCCCCCTTGTGGGGAGAATGCCAAGGTCTCAGGCATTTAAAGAGGAAAAATTCAGAGGAAAAAATGCAGAGCCGCCCCAGAGCGTGTCTAGGAACCTTGCCATGTGACGAAAATTGTGTGTGTGCAAAAATGCTATTACCCTCTCATTGTGTGCCTTCCAGGGCCAGAAGAAGATCTGCCAAGGAAGATGGAATACCTGGAATTCGTTTGTCATGCACCGTCTGAGTATTTTAAGTCCCGGTCATCACCATTTCCCACAGTTCCTACCCGGCCGGAGAAGGGCTACATATGGACTCATGTTGGACCTACTCCTGCAATAACTATTAAGGAAACCATTGCCAACCACTTGTAGTTTACAACTGAAAGTAGGCTCGTGTCTGCTGTGACCAGGAGGCTGCTGGCTGGGAAGCCTGTGTCTCGTCTCAGAGCACCTGGGGCCGAGGGCTCCGCTCACATTCCAGCTTGGTGCCAAATGTGCGTCTCGGAAGGGAGTAGGTGGCAGCTCAGCAAGCTCCGACCCTGGCACCAGGGTGGGCAGACCTGGAAGGAGCGCTGCCCTCCTGGGCTGTCTTGGCCCAGCCCTGGCCACTGTGGGCATCTGGGGAGTGAGCGGTAGGTGGGCGCTCCTCCCTGGCAGGTCTGTCTCAAGAGGAAAAATGGAGCTGGATTTTTAGCCTTTGTGTATTTATACTATTATAAGCTATACTACAGGTTGTTTTCAATGAAATTTTTAGCTGGAAGGGTGATTGAGGCTTTTCCTTACTATCCAGTAATGATTATTGTCTATATTACTGGCCATTCGGAGAATTAAGAATGGAAAAGAATGAAATATGCTTTGGGGTTAATTACTGCCTTCTGTGTGTGTTCTCAGACACAGGGTGAAGTGCCAGGGGGACCATTAAGGGCAGGTAGTATTTATTTTTTCCTCCATAATTTATTCCTAGAAGCTCATAAAATGGGATTGTATTTTTCTATAAGAACAAAATATTATGGTTTAGATTTCTGACCAAGGTCTTGGCTACATAAAATGTCGCTGTGACCAGCAGTGTCTATGCTGAAGCCATGCAGGCCTTCTTTTCTGATGCAGAAGATGCTAGGGTTGGTTTCTGGCTGCTTCAGCCACAAGCAGAGGGACTGGGGCTGATTGCACAGCCTGGTCTTTTTAAAACTTGCAACAGGCATTCAGAGTCCTTTGGTGGAATTTAATAGAGCTGTGCTTGTTCCCCGCGCTCCGGCAGAGCCAGGCTGCCAGGCAGCCCCCATGGCAGCGTACGGAGGGCGGACTGCACAGGTCTCACCTGGGACTCATAAAATGAGTTGGAACAAGTGGTGCTCACTGCAGTGTTAGGAGGTCTGTAGCACTGACGTCTCCAGAAAGCCTGTCCTTAAGTGAAGGCCTTTGCTGTGGACACAGCCTGGACCAGGCAGGCGTGTAGTACAGAGTGTCCAGAATTCAGGTCTTAGTGCAAGGGCATGGCAGTTAAGTAAGGGAGCTGCAGCCCTGCTGAAGTGTGAAGTGGGGGTGGCCATGTCTGTCTCCTGTCCTTGTTTAGTCTCAGGACAGTTGGCTGGGGTCTCATCACGATGGCCTGGAGCTGAGGCGCCTTAAATAACCTGCTGTTTGGGGAAGGAGCAACTGTAGACAGCTCACGTCTATTCATAGCAGCTGTGGTAAAATGAACTGTAAGTACCATTGTAAATAGGGTTCCAAATGGTTTCTGAATGATAATGTTCACAATTTTGGATTAAAATGTGTTTTTCACCAAGTATTTACTTTGGATTTATTTTCATTGATTATTTCATTTAAGCAACTTAAATAGCTCTTTCTTCCAAAAATGGGATAAATGGAAAACTGGTGTTATAATCCTTAAAATTTGTAGTAACTTGTCATTGGTAAGTGTTTTTTAAAGATTTTTATTTATTTTTATTGCAAAGTCAGATACACAGAGAGGAGGAGAGACAGAGGAAGATCTTCCATCCGCTGATTCACTCCCCAAGTGACTGCAACAGCTGGTGCCGTGCCGATCTGAAGCCGGGATTGAGGAACCTTCTCCAGGTCTCCCACACGGGTGCAGGGTCCCAAAGCTTTGGGCCATCCTCGACTGCCTTCCCAGGCCACAAGCAGGGAGCTGGATGGGAAACGGAGCTGCTGGGATTAGAACCAGCGCCCATATGGGATCCTGGCGCGTTCAAGGTGAGGACTTTAGCTGCTAGGCCACTGTGCCGAGCCCCATTGGTAAGTATTTAGAGCAGATAAATTAGTCATCACTATTAAAATTTAGGAAAATCTACAAAGGTTGATAAAATGAGCACTTAACATCTGTACAAATAAGGACATTGAAAGAAGGTAGGACAGCCCGGCAGGTTGCCTGTGCTGTGCAGGACGCTGGCCATATCTTGTAAGCTCCAGATTGGGTTTTGGTGGCTTTCTCCTCGGCAGCTGAAGCTGCTGCTGTCACTTCCAGGCTGTCCTGGAGAGGGCCTGGCCTGCATCCTCTCTGTCCTCTCTCCCCTGCTGTTGTCCTGAGCCCTGCTGCTGTGGCTCCCTCCAACCCACATTGCACCTGTTCGCGGAATCTCTTGTGTCTGACAGTGTGGTGTCCACGGCAGGTGAGCTTGCACATTTCATTTGTTCATGTTGGCAGTGCACACTGCATCGGCGCTGGGCCTGCTAACGGGGGAGTCTTAGTGTCAGCTCCACGCTAGAGTTTTCAGTAAAATGTTTATTGACATTGTGTTGAGTTTCTAACTAGCTCATACATAAGCTTAAGTTTCAAATTCTGTTGAAAATAGCTCAGTTGAATTTCAAATTGTTGCAGTCTAGGTTAGTATTAGATTGTCTCAAAAATTTTTTAAAGAAGATTTATTTTTATTTGAAAGGCAGATTTTACAGTGAAAGAGGATTAGATCTTCCCTTTGCTGGTTTACCCTGTAAGTGGCTGCGATGGCTGGAGCTGAGCTGATCCGAAGCTGGGAGCCAGGAGCTTCTTCTGTGTGGGTGCAGGTATCCAGGTCCTGGGCCATCATTTGCTGCTTTCCAAGGCCATAAGCAGGATAAGAAGCGGAGCAGGTGGGACAGAAACTGGCAACACTATGGGATGTCAGAGCCACAGGACATCATGCTGGCTGCTCCAAGACGATTGTAACAGTGTTTTTAAGATACTTTTTCCAAAAGATTGACTTACTTGAAAGGTGTTAGGGGGATAAGGGGGGATCCTCCCTCCCCTGGTTCACTGCCTGGATGGCCGCAGCGCTGGGGCTGGGCCAAGCTGAAGGCAGCAGCCAGACGCTCCTGGCAGGTCTCCTACATGGACTCACACAAGTACTTGGGCCGTGCCTGCTTCTCCAGGCATATTAGTGAGAAGCTGGGTCAGAAGTGAAGCATCTGGAACTTGAACCTGCACCCTTTTGAGGTGCCAGCATTGCAAGTGGCAGCTTAACCAGCGAGAGCACATTGGCCCCAATGTCAGATCGTAATGTATTTGAAAAAATTCCCAGCAGTTCAGGTTCTTGGCTATGAAAGCTTTTCCAGGAGTTTGCCCTCAAAGCTTGAAAGACAGTTCTATTTCAGTCATAAGGAAGTGAAACAGGAGCTGTGGTGGGACGTTTCTGTAATATGCCTGTGTGGGTCCCTGCACGTGCTTGTGTCTGGAGCATACGCTCGCTCACAGACCGCACAGGCAGGGGTCTTGGTGTGGACTTCACTGGCTTGGCCTGGGCGTGCTTTAAACATTGGTCTTGTTTCTCAATTGGTAACAGCTGTGTAAACCATACATCTGCACATCTGAGGGGAGTGTTTGAGCTGCACTGCAGTTGTGTAGTGAATGGCAGGCAGGCAGGGTGGAAGTTAGCAATGATGAGGGAAGGTTCCCAGTTCCAAAGCTGAATACCAGACCACCTGCAGACAAGATCTGCAGACAGGCAGCCGCTTCGGTGGGAGGAAATGCCTGCAGAATGTGAACATGCAAACAGGCTTGCTGGGGCCATCCCTTTGTGCTGTGCGTGTGCATGTGTTTTTAAGGCAGGATGTACTGACGGAGGTGCCTGGGAGGGGCGCTGGCCGGGTTGACTGAGTGGTTGGCATACTTGTCTTGCATCCCAGCAGTTCCACATCTAGGTGTCTGATCCAGACTGCTCAGGCTTGCGACAAAGCCAGGGGTGCGGCATAGTTTAGAATTGTAAAGAGCTACAGGCTGTCAGGAGAAAAACGGGACATGCAGGCTCAGCTCTAGCAGGTCTTCACAAGGAACATGTGAATATGGACAACTTATCTGTGATTAAAAAAACAAGTTGCAAAATGACGCATCGCACCGTCACCTGTGTATTGCAAATACCTGGCAGGTGGCTTCTGAAACATTGGTGCACAGGGACCAGTGTTGTCACACAGTAGGCTAAGCACTGCCTGTGACACTGAGGTTCCACGTGGTGACCCGTTTGAGTCCCAGCTGCTCCGCCTCTGTGCTAGCATGCCCTGGAAGCAGCAGCAGATGGCCCAGGTACCTGGCCCCTGCTGCTCACATGGGAGACCTGGGTGGCATTCTGTGCTGCTGGCTCGGACCGACCTGCTCCAGCTCCTGGGATGGTCTGGGGATTGAGTCAGTGGACAAATGGACTTTGTTTCTCTCTCTAACTCTTTGTAATTCTGCCTTTCAAATTAACCTTAAAAAAACTTCAAGGATAAATGGAATTGAAAGATGGGAAGTCCCCCCATGTATGAGGTTACCTCAGAGGATCATAGGAAATGGCATTAGGAGGTCTTTATTTTGCTGCAAGAAATTTCAAAATTCAGGCATAGATTTTGTAATACGACTTTGTCATGAACTTGTGTAAGCTCCGGCATTTGCCCAGCAAATCCAGCCTACCCCCAAGTTTGTTTCGGGGCACATATGTCAGGGTGGGGAGCCAAGTGATCCATATTTTTTTCCCAAGTGAGATTTTACCTGAATTCTTTGCAGTTGCTTACAGTGGAAATTATGTTGAAGCATTACATGAAATTCAAAATTACAGAGAAAAAAAGTTAGCATTATTTTCAGTGATGATACTAAGGCTGCTATTTTAAGAGTATCTGTTTGAAAGAGTGACATCGTTTTTTTCAAAAGATTTTTTTTTTCTTTCAAAGAGCTACAGAAAGAGAGGAAGAGAGAGAGACACACAGACATATCTGCTGTCCTCTGCTTTGTTCCCCAGATGGTCTTAATGGCCAGTGTTCAGCCAGGCCAAAGCCAGGAGCTTCTTACAGTTCTGCCACATGGGTAGCAGGCCCACGCACCTGGACCACCTGCTGAAGCCATTAACAGAGAGCTGTATTGAAAAGTAGAACAGCTATGACCTAAACCAGCGCCCATTGGAGATGTGGGCATTGCAGGTGGCAGTCCTGAGAGAGAGCTTATGTCCACAGCTTCACTTGCCGAAAGGCCACAGCAGTCAGGACAGGACGAGGCCAAAGAACTCCGTCCTCGTCCCTGCCGTGCGTGGCAGGGCCGAGTAGTCGGAGTGGTTGCCTGCTGCCTTCCCGGGCAATTCAGCGGGGAGCTAGGTTGGAAGTGGAATCACTGGGACTTGAACTAACACTGCATTATAGCATGGCAGTGCCACAGAGTGTCATAACCCAGCGTGCCACAATTCCAGCCTTCAAGGATAGTAAGTGCTAGCCTAATTTTTATGTCAAAATTGAGTTTATTCCCTAATTTCCATTCTGGTTTATTTTTTGTGTGATGAATGCAGCCGGCCGTGCCAGGTTGTGCCCGTGCCGCTCTGCTGTGAGTCAAAGAGGGGGAAAGGCAGTGCTGGTGCTTGCCTGCTGGCATGCTGCTATGAGAGGCAGACACAGCTGTAGCGATCTGCCCTCTCCGTTCACTCCCCAAATGCCCATGGTGGCTGGGAGCCGCCAGCTCAATTCAGGTCACCGGGAACCTGTCCCCTGAGCCATCCCCGCTGCCCCCTCGGGTGCACTGGGAGCCAGGAGTCAAACCCAGTCCCTCACGGAGCGCTGGGCTCAAGTAACTGCCTGCTCCCAGGGTGACTCGAGTCAGTCATGGATTTTGCAGTGGGCCTCGGGGGGTTTCTAAAATGTGGCTGCCAGCTTTTTCCTCTTCAGCTCCGTTTTCATCTATTCAGAGGATGGCCACAGTTGAGGTTGAGAAACAAGAGTAACGGATCTGTTAGCAAGAGAGGGGCTCCCAGTGGGGCTCTGGTCTCGGTACTGAGGTGGGCCCTGTGGGTGCCTGGCGCTGTGGGTGCCTGGCTGCGTGGAGTGAGGTTCTCGTCTCGTTCCTGGGGTGGGCCCTGTGGGTGCCTGGCTGCGTGAGGTTCTCGTCTCGTTCCTGGGGTGGGTCCTGTGGGTGCCTGGCGCTGTGGGTGCCTGGCGCTGTGGAGTGGGCTTCCTGTGCTGAAGCCACGCAGTCAGTGCTGTGCGTCTTCACCTTGGGTTGTTCGGGTCTGTCAGTGAACACGCTATTTCAGGTTGGAAATTGTCAGTACTGAGAAAGGAAGTGCGGGGAGGTGAGATTGCCACTTGCTACCTGCAGTGAAACGAGAACACTGACTTGTTCTAGACTGTGCTAGGAGGGCTGTGCCGGCCCGGCCTAGGCACCCTTGGCAGCGTGCTGCTGCTGGTGGCCTTACCTGGGCCTGGGGAGGCTGGCCGTGGAGGTCTGGGGGGTCCAGGATGGGGGTGGATTTGGACTGACGGGCCCTGCTTAGAGAACATGGGTGTAATGTGTCTCGGGCACCAGGAAGCGACAGCACAGGACGTGTGGGGCAGGGAT